GGATCACTAATCTTCATAATAATTTACAGTTACGAGTACATCCGGATTTGTCATCCCACCCGATCACCCCTGGTGTTTTGTTTATTGACTTTTTTATTTTTAGGTGAAAGCATTAAGTACTTATTTAATTTTGAGTGGAGGGCCGGGAGAGGTTTGTTGTTTTTCCTCAGGGGCATTTGTATTTGATGAATGTCTCACTGTGCGACAGGATTTTGTTCATGCCCCAGGTGACTGTGTCTGCTTGTTTTGACTCTGCCCTTGTCTACCCCACCCCACTATCCTTGTGCTACCCCCTCCCCATTCCTCCACCACCACCACCACCACCCTCCACCTACCCTCCCACCCTGCCACGTCTCCTAACAGCGGAGTGTATCTGAGAATTCCCTGGTCGCCATGGACTTCTCTGGACGGACAGGTCGCGTCATCGACAACCCTGTTGAGGCCCAGAGCGCCGCCCTGGAGGAGGGACAGACCTGGAGGGTAAGAAGGGGGTTGAAGCTCGGGCTTTGGAGTGGACAGATATTCATAAAATAGAAGAAATCTGAATCCAAAAATGAACAGATTTAAGCTCCAGTTGTTTGATGTGATTAACAAAGATAAGACAAATACTAATCCTACAGTATGTAAAAGGGCCATTTTATCATGAACTCTCCCTTGAGTTTCTGTAATATAGGCCCATGATTTCCCCTATCATACAGTATATGTTATCATATAGTCATTTGAAATCACAGCTTTTTCTTATACAAACATCTTTGATATCTTTTTCACTTTTGAGCTTCCTTTCTGTAACTTCTTTTATGGAAACGCTGTGCAGAAGCCTTTTTCCATTCAAACTCATTTATCTTTCCCCTGCATGCCTTTTCTTAGTAAATTCAAGTGTGCAGCAGCTCCACTTATCTGTTGCTGAGATTATACCTCTGACGAGGCTAAAGCAGCAAGCGGCTGCTCACTTCATTGTGAGTGACTGCAATGCATTACAGGGTCTGTTTACTGTACTAAAATGAATTCTACAATAATTCAAAGGGAAAGTGTGGAGACTGGAAGCTTGGAGGCCGATTAGAATTGATTTTGAATTGTGTTTGATATGTTTTTATCATATAGTAAATGTTGCATTTTCTTCCACATAGAAACGGAGCCAGCGTATGAATGTCCTGGGCAGTCCCAGCCCGCTGCACCCATCCTCTCTGAGTACAGGTACTCACTTCCAACCACAAACAAATACAGCTGTAACCACCTTGTATTAGTGCTATAGCCCAGCAACGACAGAAAGAAAGGACCATATGACTTCATATTTATTTGAGTGTTTAGTTTGGCTGGTAGATGCACTGAATGTGATTATGTGTTATGAATATGAAAATTCTCAAACACTGAGTCAAAGATGCCTGTCTTTCAGTGATCCACAGGACACAGGTATGGTTTCACGGTCGAATCATGCGAGAGGAAGCCCACAAAATGATCATACAACAAGGCCAAGTAGATGGGTAAGAACTATATTTTGAGCGTGAAATTTCATGGTAAATGTTGCTCATGTGAAACGCACTAGAAAGCTTTGTGAAAACACAAGTTGTAATAAGTGAAGATTATTTTGTCAAACTAGAATTTTCTGAATAAAAAATGTAAAAAATAATAGACATCACTGCAGCCAAGAAAAGCTTAAATCTTCTAAAATGTCTTAAAACGGCCTTTTGGCCTGACAGCCAAGTATCTCAGCCTTTACCCGGTGGATTAAGATAAAGAGTTACAGCTACCTCAACTCAAGCATTTGAAATGTAACCACCGAACCAGAGTTACACTTGTGATGTATTTTTCGTGCTTTTCATGAAACGGTTTAATCATCTCTCTCTAATGTTCTCTGTGTCAGGTTATTCCTGTTGCGGGACAGTCAGAGTAATCCCAAGGCATTCGTGCTTACCTTGTGCCACCACCAGAAGATCAAGCACTTCCAGATCTTACCGGTCAGTCACATTACACAATACAGTCACATTACAGTGCAGGGAATATGTCATGCTCACTTGTATTGAATGTAAGGCACAGTGGGGCAGATCACTGCTTCACTCTCTTAGAAAATTACACAACTCAAAGTTGGGCTGTGAAATAGATTTTTTTTTCGGAGGGTAAAATGACCTTTTGTTACATTTCATGTCGTAGCTCGATTACTAAACTGCAGTCATAGCCTCAAAAGCCAGCAGTCGTGGCTGATTGGCATTACCAGCAAAGAAACATATCAGTCCCTGCAGATTTCAAGCAGGTCCACCTTTTCTAAATGCTTTGAGATACAGCTTAACCTCATAGTAAAACCTACAAGATTCATCTGGCCTGCTACACTTAATGTCGCTGCCAACCATTTTCCAAAGCATGTCTTGCTTTTTTAAGATTTTGAAATACGGTTTTCCTCCTCCCAGGCAGCCATGTGTTTTCATTTATTTTGTTACAGAAATTAACTTCAAATGTCTTAAAGGGCCAGTTCAAACAAATGGCACTTTTTGACTTGCTGCTAGAGGTACCTAGCCATGCAGAAAGTTTTGGTTTTATTTGCTAAGGTTTTTAGAAAACTGGCCTAATATACGAGGTTGCTGACAATGTATGGACATAGTGTATAGCTGCTAAACTTTGGAAAACTGGAGAATGATTAGTAATGTCAAGCAAGCATGCAGAGAAGCATAGAAATGAATAAAGAATAGAATATTTCTTGTCTGCAGCCATGCTAGCAGTTCTGTGAGGCTGAACTTTGGCATAGCTGTACATTGAGCCGAATGCTAACATTAGCATGCTAACATGCTCACAATGACAATGCTAACATGCTGATGTTTAGGTATAATGTTAACTACGTTTACTCTCTTAGTTTAGTGTGTTAGCATGCTAACGTTTGCTAATTAGTAAAGAATACAAGCTGATGGGATTAAGTCATTAGTGTCGTTTTGTAGGTATTGGTCATAAACCAAGTGCTGGACAAATATTTTTTTTATCTGCTGGTAGCAATAGATGAAAAGTCAGCGGATCACCAAAGTCAGTGGGATTCATCCTCTGGGGATCATGATTGTCTGAACCAACTGTCATGCCAATCCATCCAATAGCTGTCAAGATATTTCAGTCGGGACCACAGTGGTGGACCGACTTACAGAGCAACATTGCCAGGTTCAGTCGGTACAAGGTTAAAAGGCCTGTTGACATGAGTTTGTCCATATATTTGCTCTGCTTTCACCTGTCTGATCTTATTTATCAAAGTATACATGTCGTACTGTCATGTGATAGTTAACTGGCCTCTCTCCTCCCTCTGGCTCTGGTCTCAAGTGTGAGGAGGACGGTCAGGTGTTCTTCAGCCTCGACGACGGTGCCACCAAGTTCACCGACCTGATCCACCTGGTGGAGTTTTACCAGCTCAACAGAGGAGTGCTGCCCTGCAAGCTCAAACACCCCTGCACCGCCGTGGCCTTGTGACACTCCACGCCCCCATCACCTCCACCCCTTTTTTGCACACCTCTCACCCTGAGATCCCTATCCCCCTTCTGCCCCTCCCTCACCAACGCAATGAGGTTGAGGAGCTAAAGAAAAGTTTAAGTCAAGTTTCGGGGATGTGAACAACTGAGCAGGAGCCGGCGTGGGAGGTTTAATGTCTCCGATGCATTTCTCTGCCTTACCGCTGTTAGGATGTTTGAATGGCATCCGTTCACCGGACAGTTCAAGCGTTGCAGATTGTGGACCCAGCAGTCGCCTAGCTCCTGCGATGCTGTCATGGAGACTCGGTTGTTTTGTCATTGCCGTTTTGACCCTGGAGGGAGACCATATGTTGTGAAAACACAAGACAGCTAAGGTCTGTTCAGCAGGAGTGCTGCGGGTCTCCTCCCTCAGAGTCCCCTCACCCTTCAGCCCCCAACCTCCCTCATCCTCCAGGCCTGATAAGCTGTGGTGCCTGCCCCACCCTCGCCCCATTCGCTGCCGAGGTGGGCGGGGAGCGCCACCCTCTGACTTCCTCATCGATCATCAGGGATGGACGGGAACCTCTCTGGGTCTTATCAAACTCGATCCAGGAGTTTTCTCAACCTGTGCAGTCCAGTCTGGATAAGCTGACACCCTGCCCCCGGCCCCCACCCAACTACCAACACCACCCGAACAGACTTGATGCGGCCTCTTTGCTGTGTCCTGTCCCACAGTGCCCTGGTGCGACCCTGATCCCGCCTCTCCTCCTCCACAGAAGCTAAGAGAAAAGTTGGGAGAGAAAAGAGAAGTAGCTGAAGGCAAGATAAGCAGAGCAGTGGCGAGGGTTTGCTGAAAGGACAGAGGAATGTTTATCAGGAAGGCCGTAACAAGCCTCTCTTGTAGAGTTGATTACTTGATGTCATTTTAATGCTGTTTTATTACTGTTGATTCAATGCAGAACTAGTTTTGCACTCCCGGGCGGACAGATGACAGCTGTTCTCTCTAGCTAAATGAAGCTGCCTGCTCTCCGTTTGTCCTTCTTCTCCTCCTCCTCCAACCCCTCCCCTTCTGAAAAGCATGCATGTGAATTTCCACCAGTTCTGATTGGATTACAGTGGCGTGGGAGCAAAGAGAGTCACGGCTGATTATGCAGTGCCTATCAGACAGGTATGGGAACATCTTGGACCTCTGTGTGGCTTGAAGCAACATGACCATGCTTTGGTAAAAAAGAATGTGCTCATGAAGCGCCTGCAGTGTGTCAAGACCATGAGGAAGAGAAGGAAGACTCCTGAAAAGTGTATCCACCCCCAAGCTTGTACCATTTCAGTCTTTTTTTCTATTGAAAGGGTTAAATCTGTTGGTGAATTGCCTTTGAATGTCATTTTCTTTTCCTAAGTCTGTTCTGAGCTCACTGCTTGCACATTTTAATTCTATTGATTTGATATTGATGGGTTGGAGCTGTCATTTTCGGATTCTGACCACTGTTCCCTCACTCCAGAAAAGACAAATCAACAAAAGCACTCCCATTGTTTTTTTCCCCCTCTTTGTTTTAATATGGAATTGAACAAATGACTTGAAATGTGAACTCAGTCGTTGACTGTGTGTCAACACACAGTAGAATGAGATTCACTCGCCTTAAGTGAAAATTGTGAGCCTTGCGTATGAAATCTAAGCTATATTTTACGAAGATGGAATGACATCAGGAGTGTTAAAGACTGTTAAATGGATAGTTTAACACTTGAAATACTCTTATTCACTGTCTTGTCGAGAATTAGATGGAAAGATTGATGCCACTCTCGTGTCTGTATGCTAAATATGAGGCTACAGCCAGCAGCTGCTTAGCTTAGTCTTACCAAGACTGGAAACGGGGAAACGGCCAGCAAACAAACAAAATCCACCTACCAGCACCTCTGAAGCTCAGAAATGAACACTTATATGTTGTTGAAAACAACTGTTTGTGGTTTTACAGGGGCCATGTGCTGACTATGTCTTTCTAAGCTACCAGCTGCGGCTGTACAGTAGCTTCATATTTATGGTACAGACCACATGGAAATAAGTATTGGACTTCATTGTGTTATCCTTAATGTTTTTTTTAGATATATGTGTCCTCTCTCTTATTGTGTCAGATAAACTAAAGACATGCAATCGATCTTATCTATTTCTTGGCAAGGCAGACAATAAGTATGTACATATGTATGTAGTAAGTATTTCTCAAAATGTCAAGCTATTTCCTAAAAGTAAAAATCCACTTGAACACGCATCAGAAAACAGGTACTGGTGATGCAGCGTTGCATTCCTAGGCCCGTTTTCTTGTTGGGTGCTGTATTTATCTTATTTCTGCAGGTAACTGGCTATAATGTAACAGCATATCCAGATATTTCCAGAAGATGTATTTGAGTTTGCTAGCATCAGTGGTGAACATAAGGTTGTGATGTCAGTCCCTCACAATCAAAGAGTAAGGACTTTTTTCTTCAACAGCCATTTTGCAACAATCATACTTTCATTATTAAAGAGGTAGAGGAAGCCATCTGCACACCAGAAGTAGCCTCACTAGACCAGAATGCCTTGCAGCCATCAGGTGTGTTGACAGTAAGGAGCTGTACCACTGTTCATTGATTCATTAACAGAAAATTAATTGGCAACT